CTCGCGCCGCAGCGCCTCCGCGGACGTGCCCGCGATGCGGAAATTCTGGTGGAGGTCGTGGAGCCGCTGCGCGCGCTCGCGGTTGAGGGCCTTGTGGAGCTCCGCCGTCTTCTCCTCGGCGACGGCGCGCTGGCGCCGCTCCTTGTCGCTCTCCTCGAGCACCTCCTTCATCTGGTGCTCCATGACGCGGACGCGCTTCACCTGGCCCTCGCGCGCGCGCGCGTCGATCTCCGCGTTCTTCGCCATCTTCGCCATGCGCAGCTCCGACTCGTGGGCGACGCGCTCGGCGTCGTTCTTCGCCTTGAGGTACTCGGCGAGCTGCGTGTGCTGCTGCTCGATCTGGCGCTTCAGGGCCTCGTTGACCGTCTGGAGGCGCCGGTAGTTCGTCGTGAGCTTGTCGAAGTCGTGCTGGACGCGCAGGTACTGGCGCTCGTAGTCGTCGTCGACGTCGTAGTCGGGGGCGCCGCTCTCCCCGTCGTCGATGATCTCCGCGAGGTCGAGGTCCATCGTCCCCGCCCGGGGGGGCAGCGCTAGTAGCGTCGGCAACGTCCGTGGTTGCCTCTGCAAGTTGTGTTTTTTTTAAAATAGAAATCAGCCGCGGGCTGCGCGATGAGCATGCTGCCCGATCGGAGCGCCGAGAGCCGCAAGCGGGCGCGCGGCGAAGAGCCGTCGTCGCCGCGGGACAACGAGGTCGACCCGCACGAGGTCGTCTCGATCCGCGCCGGCGAGCGGCTGTTTACGGCGGAGCGCGAGACCTGGACGTGTTTCCCGGACAGCGTCGTGGCCATGCTCGTGAAGCTCCACGAGGGGCCGGGCGAGGTCGACGCGTACCTCGACGTCGATTCGGACGCGTTCGCGCGCGTCGTGAGCTACCTGCGCCGCCGCGGGCCGAGAAACGTCGTGCCGCCGGAAAGCGACGAAGCGCTGGACGCGTTCGCGGCGTGCGCGGATAAGGTGGGCCTGCATCGGCTGCACGCGGAGCTCTGGCTCGAGGGACGCCGGCGGTTCTGGGAAGCGGAGCTCGCGCGCTTGGACCGAAACATCAATGCCCAGGAGGCTCAGTTACGCGCCATGGTTGATGATGCTGCACGCAAACCTGCGAAACGCCAAGGAACA